CAATATAAAGATGAATGGTAAAATTCGTGCTAATAATTTAAAATTTTTATTTTTATTTAGTTAAGAATGACATTAAATAACATAAAAAATAATAAGTTGAGTGAGAGACTATGGAAGAAAGAAAAAAAGCTATATAGTACTTTCGATGTGCTTTTTTCCTGCTTTTTGAACAAAGAGCCCCACGCTTGTTTTGTACTGGGCCCCATAAATTATGTCGTCAGCTCTACTTATAAATTCCCTTTTTACCTAAGCCAGCTTGGTTTAATTTTCTGTTACTTGCTAACAAGAATCCTAACTAATTTGGAAACTTAATTTGAACTTGGTGGAGGTTTTATCTTTAGCCTATTCCAACTATTATATTCAAATGAGAGGAAGTATGGTGCAATGTAAAAAACATGGGCTTTTACAGATACAGAAAAGAGGCTCAGAGAGGTTTACTAACTTCGGCAAAGTCACACAGCTTCCAGGAGAAGGAGTTGAGATTTGAATTTGGCTCAGTGTGACTGTAGAAAGTTCAGTAGAACTTTCTGTGATCATGGAAATGTTCTGTAACTGCACTGTCCAATATGGTAGCCGCTAGCCACATGTGGCTACTGAGCCCTTGAAATGTGGCTGGTGCAACTGAGGAGCTGAATTTCCAACTTCAGTTAATTTTAATTAATTTAAATTTAAATAGCATGACTAGTGCTACCACACTGGATTGCACAGATCTAGAACCTCTGACACTTGACTGACCCAGTGGATGCTTGCAGAGGGGCTGAATGGCCCACTGGCTTCCTCTGGTACGTGCCCTTTTCTGTGAGTGTAGGTGAAAGTGTTAGAGAACCCAGACAGAGCCTGGTACATAGTAAGTGCTCAACAATTAGTAGCTGAGTGGTGTCACGGGTGCTCAGGCGTGATTTCCATAAATGACAAATCTAGACAGGAGAGACAAATCTGCCACAAGAGAGTCACTTTCCCCCATCCTCTGAATCAAACATGGGAAAGGACCAGCCCTCAGCAGAGGTCAGGACAGCCCCTCGGTGACTAAGGCTTGCGGAATCCACACCCGGCTGGATTGGCTGCCCACAGAAAACCTTCCCGAAAGGGCCTGGCCTCTAGTGTGCTGGGGAGACGTGTCAGGGAGATTAAGGCGCCTCTGGTATGTCTCTGGAAAGCAGCCAACAAACCCAGAGCGTCATCACCGCAAACCCATGTGGGAGCTCACGCGGCCCGACCCAAACTCATTTTGACACATGGTAGAAGGGGTGAGGCCCAGCCCTGCAGGCCACTGCAGCCCACTGATAGACCCCGGTTCCCAGAGGCCTCTGCTCTCGCACCTCTGGCCCCTCTTTCAGAACAGGCTCTCCTTCCCTCACCTCCCACTTGGCCAGCACCTCCTACGCTGGCTGCCTGAGGTTTCCGACTAAATGACACCTCCTCTGGGAAGCCTTCCTACATTCACCTCCCCGGCCTGAGTCGGCCCCTCCGGTAGCCCTGGCGAATCATTCACCATTAATCATTAACAAATAAGCCAACCCTGCCTCTCTCTACCCTGGCACGCCCTGCAGAGCTGCCTGTGCAAGAAACAGCCCATCTGCAAACCAACCTCTGCCGAGTGCGGCAGCTGCACCTGTGATTTGTGATTCGGGGCTCATTTTTGACAACACTGTTTCCCTTCTCTGCCTGTAGCATCTTAATCCTCGTGGCTCGAGTCTCCTGCAAAGCATCTCTCAGGCTCTCTACTGCCCATTAGTTCCAGCTGCTCTGGAGGACAACTCCTTGCTCCTGGGGGCGCTCCCCAACCACCACATACTCTCCAACTTTGGGGATTCTCCATCAAGGTGTCTTCAAATGACATGGTAACAAAAAGAGGCTCGGTTTTATTCTCATAGATTGTTATTTCCTTGTCAGAGCCACTTAAAAGGGAACTGGAGTTAACCCCTGGCTGGTGACTGTGGAAGGACCTAAGTTAGTGGGAGGAAAAGGAGAGAGTAGTCAGGGAAGGCTTCGAGGAAGAGGGTGCATTTGATCTGTGATGTTAGTGACAGGGAAGGACATTCTAGGCAGAGGAAATAGCAAGGGCAAAGGTGTGCAAGCCTCAGAAAGGATGCAGCATTTCAGGGACCTGCAGTTGCTTGGTGTCTTAGAAGCATGAGGTGACGAGTAGGAGGTGGAATGCAGAAGAGGCAAGAAAACACAAAGCACCGAGGGCCTCGAATGCCTTGCAGAGGAGCACAGACCTGATCCTGGAGGCTGGAGCTCCCCCAAACGTGTTCCCCAAACACCAGACCCACAGAATTCTCTGTTCCAAAGACGGACGGGATTCAGTATCCTCCAGTTGGAAACTTCAACACATGCTACTCTTGTAAAGGCTCTGCCAAAACGAATAGCAACTACCTGTGAGTCTCTGCAAGGCACCAGGTAGTGCTCTAAGCATGTAGTGTGGGTCACCATATTTGACCCATGTCACAACCCTACAAACTAGCTGCTGTTGTATTACCCCCATTTTATAGAGAAGTTAAGAAATTTGCCCAAGGCCACACAGTTAATAAGTGATAGTACCCAGATTTTAACTTCAGCAGTCTGACTTGGAGCTGTCTTGAAGTAAAGAACTTGCCTCATTTTGTTTCATCAGACATTTCCCAAACTTGTTTTTTGATTTAATTATGGAAAAAAATTTTGCATATGTAGTGACACCGTAGAAGGCAGTTGCTTCTTGGGCAATGCGAGCTATTAAAGGGTTCTGACCCAGGAGCCTTTTGATTTGATTTACAAATATCCTTAGTAAACTCATTATCAGTCACTTACACCAGGGTTCCCCAATCTATGGTGAGATGTATAATTATTTCATTATATATTACAATGTAATAATAATAGAAATAAAGTGCACAATAAATGTCATGCACTTGAATCATCCCAAAACCATCCCCCCAATCCCTGGTCCGTGGAAAAATTGTCTTCCATGAAAACAGTCCCTGGTGCCAAAAAGGTTGGGGACCGTTGATTAAACGTTAGTGGGAATTAGTCTTTTCTTAGAGTCCTTGATTTTCTTATAAGCTCCCCGAGGGCAGGTGCTGTGTCTCAGCCACTCCTGTGTTCCCCACTCCCCAGGAGGGGTGGCACTAAATGGTCAATAAGAACACCTGCTAGAATGAACTGCAGTCCCCTGTCGAAGACAGTGGGAGCAGTGGAAGGAAAGGCCTGGTGTCCGGGAGGCAGGTGGTGGCAGGGTCAGAGTGTGTGGGGGAAGAGTCAGCGGCGACTATGGGGGACATCCTGAGACTCCCGATCGTGGAGCTGGAGTGCAAGCAAGACTCACCTACTTCGCGGCACAGCTAAAAGCCAGGCCTGGACCTTGATCGAATGCAAGTCCAAATATCTACCCTGAATGTTTCTGTTCTAGGCAGCAAGTAACCACCTGGTTATCGCAAAAGGAGACATTTGTAGGAGCTGAAGGTATAGCAGGAAACTTTTGGTTTTAAGAGTCAGAGTCGGAGAGAAAAATCTCTGAGAATTGTATCCAACCCTGGCCCTACCCCCAAGCTCCTGCAAAGAGCAGGGGTTCAAAGTTCGGTTTGTTGAACTGAAGTTCCTTAGAAGACACCTAGCCCATTTCTCTCCTTCTATTATAAAAACGGGCAAGACTGAGACCCAGAGAAGGCAAGGTCACAGAGCCGAGTAAGCTGGGACCAGAATCCAAGTGTCTCCTCCCAGTCGGGAGCCCACGGTTTCAGGGCTGTGCCCCTGCCCTGTCCTCTCCATCTCCCGCCCGCTCCCCTATGTCATGAGGAGGCAGCCCCTGCGTGTACCCCATCCCTGCTATGTCCCCACCCCTACTGCGGACTGCACTCCCTGCTGCCGCCCAACTTCCCCTAATGAGATTACAGATTCCTGGTGAAATAGACGAGGGTTAATTCTCCCTAGCTTTAAAGGGCAGTCCAGGCCACAAGAAATAGCAAAAAAGAAACCCTTTCTCCAAAGCGCTAAGCATGATGACGACCCTAACAGCCCTGTCCCCTGTTTAGTGTGAGAGAGCTCACACTGCTCTCCTAGATACTCTCTGGGCAGATACTCTTTGGGTGGACTGTCGTGCCAGCCCTGAGGAAGTAGATGCTATTATTATCTCTGCTGATTATCATCTCCCTGGATGGGGAAACTCAGGCACAGTGAGATGAAATGGTTGGGCTGGGGTCACACAGCTAGTAAGTGGCCGAGCAGGGACTTGAATGCAGGTCACTTGGGCTCTGTCATCTTTAATAAAAATAACAGGCCCCTAGAACCTGCAGTGCCCAGCGTTATGCTTGAAACAGCCCTGGAGAGTACGCATCCCATTTACAGTGAGTGGCACAGCCCACGTTTGAACTCAGGTCCGCTGGACCCAAATCCTCGTTCCCCACAATACTGGCAAGCGCCTTTGAACCCATCTACCGATTCGTGTGGCGGAAACCAAACTGACTGAGGCCTGAATTCCACTCTGCTGCTCGCTAGCTCTGTGAGCATGGCCAAGGGACTCTGGCTTCTGCAGTGTCAGTAAAATGAAGGTGGGAACCTTCGGGTCTCTGGGCCGATTCCCTGTGGTTAGCAGGCGAAGCCGCCAGACCAGGCCTGGCACACGGTACATGCTCATTGCTCAACCACCTTGGCTCCTTCCTCTGTAAAATGGTGGCATTGACAGTGCTTACTTCTTGGGATTGGCATTACGATTAAATATGCTAAAACAAGTAAAATGCATCTGGAATGGCACTGGTGCACCGTAAATGCTTAATGAATGTTGGCAGTGACTGGTATCTTACTGCCTTGCTTTCAATTCTTTCTGGAATAAAGCGGGGTAAATCAAACCGACCAAGCAAACGTTTCTCCTGTTCCTCCACCAGTACCTGGTCCACCCCTCTGTTAAAGAGGAGCGCCTGGCTTGGAGGTCCAAACTCCCAGACCACGTGCCTGCTCTAGTTTCCCAGGCCCTAATCTTCTCCCAGCTCCTAATGATGCAGCTGGTAATAGGATTGTGGATTCCCTCCGGGAGGCCACGCAGGCCATGGCCGTGGGGCTGGCGACTGGTGCTTAGCAACTCCAGCCGCCTGCCTGCTGAGGAGCCAGAGCCCTCAGCCCAGACCCCGTGCCCGCGGCTGGTCTCACGTGCATGGAATGGTGCTGTGCCCCTTGCCAGCGGGCCAGGCTCACCATGGTGCCGGCTGCCATCCTGGCGCGGGGCAGGGATGTGTGCAGGCGGAATGGACTGCTCATCCTGTCCGTGCTGTCTGTCATCGTGGGCTGCCTCCTCGGCTTCTTCCTGAGGACCCGGCGCCTCTCACCACAGGTCAGCCTCCTGGGGCATCTCGGGGTCCCTGTCTAGGAGGGGTGTGTGGGCTGCGCGATCTTGCTCCATGGCCCCCTGTGACATGACAGTGTGAGTCCCTTTGCCTCTCTGGGTCGCAGTTTTCTCATCTATGACATGGGTGTGATGAATACCTTGCGGGACTAGGCTGAGGAAATGACTACAAACCCAGGATGACCGGGTGACTGAAAGGCAAGGATGCCTCATTAGAGGCACCGCAGGGCTAGGAGCTGAGGTCGCGGGAAGGTTGGGGTCTTGTAAGAGTCAGAGCAGGCACCAGAGAACGCCCCCTAAAGGCAGCTCACGTGACTAGGAATCCAGGAAGGGCCTTCGAGGCAGAGGAGACAGCAGGTGCGAGGCACGGGGGCTGGAGTGCAGGGCCCGCCACCAAGCAGGGACTTGGGGCCACCAAGAGAAGCTCGTGAGCAGAAGAGTGACGTGGTCGGATCCGAGCTCTGGGGAGCTCCCTCGGGTGCTGTGTGGAGGTGGGGGGGGCAGGCAGGGGCCGAGTGAGGGGCAGCTGCCGGGGAGACATGGCGGTGGGAGGAAAAGAGCAGACATGAGACCTGTTTCCAGAAGAGGAACCTCTGGCTGTGGGGCCGATGGGGTGTGGGGCTGGGGGCCGGGGAGGCACAGCAGGCCCCGGGTCTCCGGCCCGTGCGACGGCCATGGTGGAGCAGCCTCGCCTGGGGAAGGGCCCCTTTCCCTCTCAGCCCGTCTGTGGGGCAGGGAGGGACACTCACATGGCATTAAAGGAACAATTATTCTGATGCTTGGTGAAATGGTAAGGAAGACTTTATTCAGGACTGTTGCCACAGGTGTGAAGACCTCCTGCAGGGGAGAGACAGGACTCAGCTGCAATACAACAAAGGCGGCTGAGGATTTACAGCCGAGGAGCAGAGGGGGTCGGTGGGTGGAAAATTACCAGCAGGAGACATCTAGGGTCAGGGGGTCTTGCGGAAGGCAGGCTGGGGTTTGAGCGTGGGGTGAGGAATCTTACAGATAAGGAGGGTGATGAGGGGTGGGGATCCTCACCAGAGGGACTCGGCAGGATTCTTGCTACAACTGGACCACGCAGGCCAAAGACAAGGCCCAAGGACAAGGCCTAGGCAAAAAGAGGGTGCAGAGGCGCCTGTCTCAAGTTTGGTCAAAGAGAGAGTCTTCATCACTGGGCTCCCTATCCCAAAGATTCCCTATTCCAAAAAATGTCTCTTCCTATAGCTCACTGAAGTTTAATTTTCTTTCTATGGCTGAGGCTCAAGGAACCAGACTTTGTTGGGAGTTGAGCCCACTATTACTACAGTAACCCTGTTAAGCCTCGAGCAGTTATTTAGGGAGAAGCTTGAACTCTGGAGGCAAAGGAACCCTTAATTTTGACCCTGCTAGTAAATGGCTGGGCAAAATCCCATCCCCTTTCTGGGCCTCAGTTTCCTTATCTGTAAAATGGGGTAGGGCAGTATATGTCTACTAGAATTATTACAAGGAATAAACCGAGGATTCATCAGTGCCCAGTATACAGCAAGTGCTAACTGATTGTTACGTCACCCCTCCCTCCTTTATCCCCTGTCAAAGTCCTACCTATATCAGGAACCATCTCATATTCCATATCTTATAAATAGTCTTTCAGACCTGTCTATGTTTCAGATAATAGTATCCTCCCACACTCACACCCAGCACATCCCTCCACCGTGCCCCACCTGCTGGCTACCTTGCCTCAGAGCTGGTGATGTAGTGTCTGTTTCTCCCACTGACTGTGAACCGCTGAACACCAACCACGAGGGCTTTCTTGAACCACAAGGTGAGCCTAGATCAGTGTCAGGCACAGAGAGAACACTCAACTATTTGCTGTAATTAACTAGAAATGGAACAACAATCTGCAATCTGCTCTTTAATTTTCCTCAGCAAAAAAAAAAAAAAATATATATATATATGTATATGTGTGTGTGTGTGTGTGTATATATATATATTTCTTGCAGGAAGATTATTTTGCAAAAACAAATTGGAATGCCTATTATTAAAAGCCAAACTCATCTGGGGCCTCCTTTGCCAAAGCTGCCGTCCCCATCTGTTTGGAAATGCAAACAAACATATTCTGGTCTGGATTAACCTGCCAGATAAATCGAAGGAAGGATGTGGAGCCTTAGAACAATTATTTGGCAGGAATTGGCTTTCTCAGCATCTTACTTTGAAATTCAGCATTTCTCCGTTTGATCTCTTTGCCTGTGACTCAGAAACTAAACCCTTCTTATTTTGTAGGCTTATGCAACAAGCAAAAGTCATAAACAATTTGGAAAATGGTAGAATGTTCTATTTGTGAAAAGAACTTACAAAATCACAGGATTTTTGTCTTTGGAGCATCTCATTTAAAAATTTCAACCATTTTGAGACTTCCAGTTAAACCATGGCAAATCACAATTGCATCTGTTTTCTTCTCCTTCCTAGATTTCCACTAATATCATAGTAATGGAATCTTTAAAAGATAAAAAACACCAAGAACAAAGAGATTATACAAGGGAACAGTTGAGGAAAGAAATCGAGAGGCTACAACAAGTCAGGCAAGATGGAAGTGGTTGAGTTGAATGAGCTCATGTAGTAGAGCAGAGGAAGTGACAATCTCACGTCTGTGAAGCTGATACCAAGTCAGTTTGTCTTGCAGAACTCCAGAGGGCTCTGGACGTAAAAGTGCAAGGTGCTGCATTGGGCAAGGGCGAGGCATGGCGTTGAAAGCAGAGGCAGAATTTTGTAGCCAATTCACATAGTCAGGGGACTCCTCATCCACCCATCTCTACCCACCCCACTGACTGCCCCAAGGAACCAGCGAATCTTGCCTTGGGAATTAGGCCCACCTGTGTGCACTGGGCGGGGCGACGGGGAGGCACGTGCTTCAAACTAATTAGCAGACACCCGCGTTCTGAATGTGTGATTTCCCAAGACTGCTGTCGGTCGAACTTGGGCATAGCCCAATTTCCCGTAGTAACAGACTTCTCTCACTGAAGCCTCAGAGAAAAGATCTCTAAATTCTGCTATAAAGGAGATTTCTCTACCATCCCACCCAGCCCCAGTGAAAAAGCCATTTTTCACCTGTCACTTTGCCCTGAGGGGCTGTCTATTCACAAGCCCCACTCATACACAGAAGTTGAGTGCTTCAAACTTATATATGGGCAGGAAGCCAAAGTCGCCAGAAATTTTAGGAAAGCTGCTAACATTGAAGAGACTAAACAAAGAGAAAAGCGGGTCTCTGATGAAGCAGAGACAATGCAAGGAGTAGCAGAAAACTTTTAAAATCTTTTCTGAAGCTCTTCGGAGCTATGAGCGAAGACGTGGTTACCATAAAACAGAATGGGGTACTAAAAAGAAGGAACAGAGAATGAGAAAGAGTTGTGGGAAATTAAAAATATAAGAGCCAAGATTAAAATGTCAATAGCTGGGATAAAGTTGTGGAAATCTCCCAGAAAGTAAAACAAAAGGAGATGAAAATGGAAAAGGAAAATATAAGAAAATTGGAATGTCCAACATCCAACTATCTAGTAACAGTTTTAGAGAAAGCTGACAGAGAATATGGAGGAGAGAAAAATTTTGCAGAGAAGATAAGAAAGTTTCTCAGAAGTGAAAGGGAAACACAGCACTATAAAGTTAAAAAGAAAAGGAAGGAAGGAAGGAAAGAAAAGAAAGAGAGAAAGGAAAGAAAGAAAGAAAGAAAGAAAGAAAGAAAGAAAGAAAGAAAGAAAGAAAGAAAGAAAGAAAGGGAAGGGAAGGGAAGGGAAGGAAGCCCCATGCTGTGGCACATGGCCATGGAATTACAGAAAAATGGAGATAAACAGACAATCCTCAAATGGTTCTGGAGAAATAAAATAGGTGTCATCTGAGGAAGAGGAAATAATGGCTTTACACATGTTAAGCAACCCTGGAAGCTAGAAGGAAAAGAAGAAATGCCTTCAAAACTTGAAGGGGGGCCGGGCGCGGTGGCTCACGCCTGTAATCCTAGCTCTCTGGGAGGCCGAGGAGGGCGGATTGTTTGAGCTCAGGAGTTCGAAACCAGCCTGAGCAAGAGCGAGACCCCGTCTCTACTAAAATTAGAAAGAAATTAATTGGACAACTAAAAATACATAGAAAAAATTAGCCGGGCATGGTGGCGCATGCCTGTAGTCCCAGCCACTCGGGAGGCTGAGGCAGGAGGATCGCTTGAGCCCAGGAGTTTGAGGTTGCTGTGAGCTAGGCTGACGCCACGGCACTCTAGCCCAGGCAACACAGTGAGACTCTGTCTCAAAAAAAAAAAAAAAAAAAAACCAAACTTGAAGGGGAAATTATTTTCGACTAGGAATCTTACATATGGCCAGACTAGTATCAGAGAGAAAGGTAGGATAAAGGCATTTTCATTCATGTAAGGACTCAGAACTCAGTTTCTCTGCTATTCACCCTTACTCAGGAAGCTGCCAAAAGAGATGTTCCAACAAATTCAGTAAGTAAACCAGGAAGACAAGGGATCCAGGAAACAGGGAGTCTCGTGCAGGATGAAGTCCCCGAATGACAGTGAAGACACCCAGGACAGCCGCTGGGCTAGAGAGAGCAGTCTGTTCAGACTGGAACGGGAAGATGGAGAGCTCTTGGACTGAGGTCCTGGGTGGATTAAAAGGGAACTGATGTGCTTGAGTGTGTAGAAAATACTAGTGTTAGGCATTTTTTTTATTTCAAAAAAATTAGGGGGTACAAGTTTGTTACATGGATGAACTGTAACGTGCTGAAGTCAGGGCTTTCAACGTACCCATCTGGAATATTATACATTGTACCCAAAAGGTAGATTTTTTATCCCTCCCCCAGACTCGCCCCACTTCTTAGTTTTCAATGTCCGTTACACCACTTTGTGACCATATATATCCCTCTTTAGCTCTCACTTGTGAGTGAGAACATGTGGTGTTTGTTTTTCCATTCCTGAGATACTTCACTTAGGATGATGGTCTCCAGTTCCATCCAAGTTGCTGCAAATGACATTATTTCATTCCTTTTAATGGCTGAGTACTACATATACCACATTTACTTTATCCATTCCTCAGTTGATGGGCACTTATGTTGGTTCCGTATCGTCGCAATTAGGAATTGTGCTGTGATAAACATTCGGGTGCAGGTGTCTTTTTTATAAAATGACTTCTTTCGCTTTGGGTAGATGCCCAGTAGTGGGATTGCTGGATTGAATGGTAGGTTTACTTTTAGTTTTTTTGAGGAATGTCCATATTGCTTTCCATAGAGGTTGTACTAATTTACATTCCCACCAACAGGTATATGTGTTCCCTTTTCATCACATCTGAGCCCACATCTACTGTTATTTGACTTTTTAATAGTAGCAATTCTGACAGGGTTAAGGTAGTATCTCATTGTGGTTTTAATTTGCATTTCCCTGATGAATAGTGATGCTGAGCATTTTTTCATGTTTTTTTTTCCCTTTGTGTATCTTTTGAAAAATGTCTGTTCATGTTTTTTGCCCACTTTTTAATGGGGTTATTTGGTTTTTTCTTGCTAATTTGTTTGAATTCTTCATAGATTCTGGATATTAGTTCTTTGGTAGATGCATAGCTTGTGAATATTTTCTCCCATTCTGTAGGTTGTCTATTTACTCTGTTGATTATTTCCTTTGCTGTGCAGAAACTTTGTAGTTTAATTAAGTCCCATTTATTTATTTTTTGTTGTTGCTGTATTTGCTTTTGGGGTCTTACTCATAAATTCTTTGCCTAGGCCAATGCCCAGAAGAATTTTTCCTAGGTTTTCCTCTAGAATTTTTATGATTTCAGGTCTTACATTTAAGTCTTTAATCCATTTTGAGTTAATTTTTGCATATGGTGAGAGATAGGGTTCTCGCAGGTGTTTTAATAGACCTGTTAAAATGTTTGAAAGAAATTAATGGGAGATTCTCAGAAAACAAGATAAATAAAAATCATTCAATTATCTTCCGAGGGAAAATGAAGGTTGTACAAGCAAGGAGGCATGGCTGTAGCACATTACTTGGCTCAACAATGAACAATATTTGATGATACAAATATTGTAAGCTTTGACTATTGATTTGTCCAAAATGTGATATAAATATAATGGTGAAAAGGGAAGAAGAAAAAGGAGGTTGGAACTAAGTCCTCATCAATCATGGCAGGGAATTTAATAAATGTCCAAATGATAAATCAAGAAATAGCATTATATAATCAGTTATGGAATTAGAATTAAGGAAAATAAAAGAAATATCAATAGCATTATAACCATATTATTTAGAAATATTGACACTAGGGGAAACAGCTCGAGCACTTGAGGATGTTCACTCCTAGGAAGTTGGGAGGTAGGAATAGACAGAGGTGAGGAAGGAGCTACATTTTTATCATTGAGCACTTTTTAACTTAAAGAATATACACATGGTTTAAAGTTAATTAAAAATATGGTCGTGATGGGTATATTTCTTTAAAAAGCAGATTTTCTGGTTGGAAATGGTAGCAGAATGGAACTACTAGGCAGTGCTGTGGCTGACATTCGGTGGGTGAGCCACCCCCTCTCCCGGTTCAGCTTCCTCCTCTATGAAATGAGTGGCCTGGACTAGAGGATCCCTGTGACCCTGTCACAGGGCCAACGTTCTGCAGTTTGGGGTTTTCAAAGCATCAGATCATTAGCCAAGTATGTTTGGCTTTGGTTAAAAAAAAAAAGTTGCGAGAACAAAAATGTAATGTGGATGGTGCTTGAAAGTCCATTTATCTGCCTCACCCTCTGAAGAAAGTGGCCCCAAGCTAGGGTTGCCAGAAATAGCAAAAGTAAATTAAATTTAGAAATTTAAAAACAGCACACTCAGTTAAACTAGACATTCAGATAAACAACAAATCATTTTTTGAGTATAAGTAATGAATAATTTGTTATCTGAAAATCCAATTTAACTGGGCTTATGGGTCCCTTGGGCTTCAGTGGGCAGGTGCGGGTCACGTGGCCCTGTTCTTGGGGAGACAGCTGAGCAGGCGAGGATGCGGCGCCCCAAAGATCCATGGATGGGCTGCAGCCAGCCGCCCACGAAGGGACTGACATAGAATTCAGCCCGATGGGGGCTCTTGATACTGAGTGATGTCCCCGTGATCCAACACAATCCTCCCTCTTTCGGCATTTAGGGGAGAAGCACCAGAGAATGGACCCAAACAAATGGAGAAACTGACGCGCGACAAGGCCGTGGGCTGCTTATGCGCCAGCCTCTTCATTAACCAGGCTGGGAACTGCTGAGACAGGAGCCATGCTCATTCATTTGGGGGTACCCAGAAGAATGCCTGGCACAGTGTGGGTTGTATGAATGTCCACAATGTGGACAAAACGCAGCCCTGCCCTCCCGCCACTTACCATCTGCTACATGAGACAGATTTCATACCATGGGTAGGCGGGTGAATGGTGCAGACGCAGGTATTTACTGCGCTGGTATTTACTGGGATCACTGCGCATCTCCTCCCAGCCGGGCACACGCTAAGTGCTAGTGTGCGTGCTCTCATTCAAGCTCATCCAGGGAGTTCTCACTCAACGACCCTGTGGGGTACAGTCGTCCCCCTTATCCACAGTTTCACTTTCCATGGTTTCAGTTACCTGTGGTCAAGGTTGGTCCAAAAATGGGTGAGCAAAGTACAATAAGATATTTTGAGAGAGAGAGACCACAGTCACATAACTTTTATTACAGTATATTGTTCTAATTGTTCTATTTTAGTATTAGTTATTGTTAATCTCTTATAATTTATAAATTAAACTCTATCATAGATATGCATTTATAGGAAAAAAACATAGACTATCTGCAATTTCAAGCATCCACTGGGGGTCAAACTCAAAACTCAGAGCGGTCACAGAAGATGCTTCGGGCCACACAGCTGGTTTTGGCGGGGTGGGCGTTGCCAGGGTTGGAACCCAGGTCTGTCTGGTCCCAAGGCCGGTTCTTTCTGCGTGGACCCTGCTGCCATGGGCTGCACAGGAGAGCGCAGGTGAGAGAGGGCTTTGAAGGTGGTAAGGACTTAAGCAACTGTGAAGTGTGCATCACCTGCTAGAACCCAGCTTTTGCTGTGTTTTCAGGAAATTAGTTACTTCCAGTTCCCTGGAGAGCTCCTGATGAGGATGCTGAAGATGCTCATCCTGCCGTTGGTGGTCTCCAGGTGAGGGGCAGGGTGTTTGGCTAGGTGAGCTGGGGCGGGGAGAGGGGAGGGCAGATTCTGTCAACGCCTCGCTCCTGCCGCGGAGGCCGGACGGCAACTGCAGGCCCCAGGAGTGGTGGGGCTGTGGGCCCTTTATGGACAGTGTCATGGGCTGCTGGATTCTGGGTCATTCAGTAGCACTAGTTATTTAGTCTCATCCAGTGGACTTTTTAGTGGACTGAGCAAGTGATCTGGAGTCATAGTACATGACCTGACCCCAGGATAGCCCAAGGCCAGGGAGTTCGGGGATCGTATCCCAGAGGAGGGGCTCTTTATGGGGATGCAGCAAGGCAGGGAAAGGACAAGGAACTCTGGAGATGCTCCAAACATGATGTCCAGGCTCAGCTGTGTACTGTACGGGCTGTGTAGCCTTGGATAAGTTATCAAGCCTCTGTAAGCCTCAGTTTCCTCACCTGTAAAATGGGAATAATAACACCTACTTCAAAGGGTTGTCATGAAGACTATAGATTGTGTATGCTAAGGGTTCATAAGGCTGGGTCTCAGGGGGGTGAGGGAAGGATAATAGGAGGGGAATTTGCAGAGTGGGCTCCTGCTGAGTCACGAAAGACCTTGAACACCAGGCTAAAGAGTCAGACTTTCCCCAGGAGGCCAAGTCATTCTCCGTGAATATGACTGGCAATCACTTGGCCGCTACCACTGATGTGCTAGGTGACCTTGGGCAAGCCCTACCCCTCTCTAGGTGTCAGATTTTCCAGATGTAGGATGAGCTGGCTGCTCCAGGTGGTATCTAAGAGGCTTTTGTTCTGAAGCCGGGGGTTTGGAATCTGCATCGCCCAAGACTCCTCTGTGAGGAGGAAAGTAGACAAGCACCTGAGTCCTGGGCAATGTGAGTGGGCACTGTCCCTGGGGACAGCCTCCTGGCCTCCCTGCTACTGAGGAGGGAGCCAGCCCCTCTGCCCTCTGCCTCTTGTGAGGTGGAGAGAATGCGCCTCAGGCCAAGGGCGCCAGTTAATGGTACTCTGTGCCCTCCCCAGGGAGGCCCTTGCAGGCAGCATTTAGATCTCTCAGGACTCAGCCTTCAAGGCTCTGCTGAAATGCCACCTCCCTCAGGAAGCCTTCCCTGACTCTACAACCCGCTCTGGTTATTGTCTCTTCTTTATGCATCTTTTGAGTCATTCACTGAGTCAGTGAATCTGTCAAGGTCACCAGCGACCTCCACGTTGCTAAATCTAACAGACACTTGCAGTTCTTTCATGTGACCTCTCCACAGAAGGTGACCCAGCTGATCACTCACGCCCTTGTGAAGTACTCTTCCCTGTGGCCTCGCCCTCTCCTGAGGGTTTGCTGCTCCCTGCCCCTCCATCCCAGCTTCTCTCCTCTACTCAACTCCCCAGGGTTGCGGTTTCTCAGGCCCTTTCTCCTCTAGCCTCGTGGCTCTAAGTGCCACCTACAAGCCCAATGCTCCCAGATACAGCTCTCCCTCCCACAGCTCTCCTCCGAGCTCCACACTCGATTAAGCAACTACACAGTTGACGTCTCCACTTGGATGTTTCACAAGCATCTCAAGTTTAATGTCACCAACTTGCGACTTACAACCCAGCAAACTGGCTCCTTTTCTTGTTTTCTGCTTGTCCGTAGGCGGCAGCTCAGTCTACTGGGTGTTCAGTCAAAGCCTCCGCGGGTGTCGTCTCTCCTCCCCCGGCGGCGAGCCCGTCAGCCACCGGCTGACTCTACCTCCCCAAGGGAGCACAGCTTCATGCCCACCCCGCCCAGGACACTCTCTTCTCACACACGTGACCTCCACAGTGACCTCGCTGGTGTCCTGCTCGGTTCTTGTCCCCCTCCCACCCAGAAAAGCAGCCTGGGCCATGCCGCTCCTTGACCTTCCGTGGCGTCCCTGACTTTTAGAACCAACCCTAAAGTCGTTCGCCTGGGCAGGGAGGCCCTGCATGGTCTGGCCCTGCCTCCGACCTCATCTCATGTCACTCACTCCAGTCCCACTGGCCTGGAGTCCCCTGAGCAGACCAAGCCCTGCCCTGCCTCAGGGTCTGCACACATGCTGTTCCTTCTGCATGGAACATTGTATGCCTCCTCCTCCTCCTCCTCCTCCTCTTCCTTCTGACCTCAACTTGCATGTCACCTCCTCAGGAAGGCCTCCCCACCGGCCCCCTTCACACCACCCTGGCTGTCCTTCCTGTGCCCTGTTCCTTTCCCCTGGCACTTGCCATACGCTGTCATTCTGTATGTAGTCACTTGTTGACTTGTCTCTTTACCTTCCACTGGACCGTAGCTCTGTAGAGTTGGCCACGCTGCTCTGTTGAGATTCACCTCTGGGTGTCAGCACCCAGCCAGGTGCCTGGCACGTAGTGGGTACTCACTAATACCTGCCCAGTGAATTAATGAATTCAGCGATCCCGCATCATGTTTTCTGGGAGCGTGGCCCCGTACCAGGTGCTGCAGACACCGAGATGACCAAAGGACTGTTCCTAGGCTGTGGAGGAGACTGACAATAAAATAGACTGTCCCCAACAGCTCATAAGTGTGCTGATGGAGGAAGCAGGGGACCTCGTCGGGCCACTTTGTCCACCCTTCCTGCTCACCGTCCTCGCTGGGTGGGTGTTGCCTATCACTCAGAACAGAAACGCCTCCACGGCAGAGGCCCTTGTGTGCACCCTGGCGTCAGACAGGCCTGAGTCCCCATCCCGGCCCTGCCGTTTACTGGCCGTGTAGCCTTGGGTAGGTCACTCAGCTTTTACTGAAATCCTGCTGGGAAGTCCAAGGCCTGTGTCCTAGACCTGCCTCCGCCATGAACGATCGTGTGATCTGGGGTCGGGCGCCCCCACCCTGGGCTTCTTTACCCAGTGACTAGGGGCCCCCAGCTCTCAGGTCCCGGCTCTCAAACCCCTGGTCTCCCTCCACTAGACTCAAGTGCTCTCTCTTGGATAGAAATGGCATGTGGAATTAACTTGAGAAAAGCCAGTATGTGTTCACACGTTTCATTTGTTTATTATACAGTTTGGGCTGATGCAGAGCAACCGTGTCACTGAAAAATGGAAGTGCTTTCAAATTTTCCTACCAAGGGAGAATAAAACTTTCACAGGAGAAAATGATGCATTTCTGAGGCCTAAACCCCAAATCCCTGAACTCTCCTTCCTCCAGCCCAAACTGGTCTATAATCTGTCCATGATCCACACTGTTCCCTGCCAGGTGTCCCTGCCCTCAAGAAGAAACCACTCTGGTGTGAGGTTGTCACTGAGGGCAGAGAAAAATCATCTGAACTGCTTGGAGAAATTCCGATGTCAAGCCCATCCTGGGCTCACTGAACCAGAACCGCCAAGGGGCCCAAGCAGGGGTCTGTTTTAAAAGCTCTACGTGGCCGGGCGCGGTGGCTCACGCCTGTAATCCTAGCGCTCTGGGAGGCCGAGGCAGGAAGATCGCTTGAGCTCAGGAGTTCAAGACCAGCCTGAGCAATAGTGAGACCCCATTTCTACCAAAAAGAAACAAAAAAAAGAAATTAAAAGCTCCACAGATGTTCTGATGGTTTAAAAACCGCTGATTGTCTTGAGCTCAGACAGGGGTTCCGAGCTGTGACGCAGGAGGAAGGTTTTCTGTGACATCGTTGCTGCAGGGCAGCGGGGGAGACAGGTTCATTTACTTCCAGTTCTCATGACCTGCGAGTCTGGGCCCCAGAGCTTGGCACCATGACTATCTGCTGCCACCTCTTCTCCAGGACAGCCTGCTGCCCTGCCCCGTGCCGAGCCCTTGGAACCAGGCCTGTCACCCCACGAGTCCCAAGGCATGCCGCAGGTGTGCCACACCTGTCTCCACACTTTTGCTCACGCCGATCCCCCGCCACAAATGCCCCTTCTTCTCCTCTTAATTTAGTGTTGAGTCTCGCCCTGTGTTCAAGACCTCGCTTAAGTTTCTGTCTGCGAAGTCCTCCCAGCTCCCCATTTGTTGGTAACTAGTGACGACCTATCTCCACCCTGGCACGCGTGACCCTGCATGTGCCAAGTGTGGCTAGTTCAAGGCATTCGCAGTCGCAGCTGGCAGATGAGATGGGGCACAGGCACCTTTTTCTAGTACAGTAGTGACGTCTATCTGGGCAAACAAATTAGCATCCCCATCTGCAATAGCCACTCAGCTCACCAAACATGAAGTGCCCCTGCTGAGCGGTGGGGCCGGGTCGACAGGACCCCAGCGAGGGAAGGGTCGTGCGCATCGCCATTTCCATGTGCGATACCGGGAGGGGGTCAGGTCCATCGCCCCTTGTCTTTCACGCTGACCTCAGCCAGGTGCACAGCATAACAGATTAATGCAGAGACCGGAGATCTCAAGGACAGGTGATGAGATGTACAGAGGTGTGGGCACGACAGTGAGAGTGGACGCGAGGTGGGAGGGCTCGCCACCTGGACGGGAGACAGTCACGCAGACACCCAGCTCCAGGGAAGGAGGCCCAGTGGGAGGCAGGTGGGGCCAGCAGTGTTGAAGCCCGGCTCAGTCACTCGTCCCACATTCCAGCATTTTCCAGCTCTGAGGCTTCTTTTTTCCAGAATCTACTCTAACCCCTAGCCTGATCCCTCCACAGACAGGTGTGCTACAGTCCAGCAGAGTGCGGCCTACCTTTGGCTGGTGGTGGCTTAGCCGCAAGGAAGGTGAGCAGGCAGGACAGGCGGGCATCTCTGCCGATCTGCAAAGGGGGCAGGGCAGGAGCAGGGGCTTGATGTGCGAACTAAGACACTAACCAAGTCTTCTAGCGCCTGAGCCTCAGTGTCCTTGTCTGTAAAACGGGAAGAACACCCCCTTACAGGGTTATCGTGAGAATTAAATAAGGTACCAGCATAGCTCCTGGTACGTTGTGGATGTCATATCTTTGCTTTTCTATCTTATTAAAGTATCGCCAGGCTTCTCCAAGGCCCAGATGTTTCACGAAACCCTCTACCTCTGTTTCTGCTCCAGCAAGCAGCCCCTTTGGATGGCCTCTCCCTTCCTCATGGTTT